GGGCAGCCGGTGCTGGGCTGCGCTGTGCTGTGCTGTACTGGGCTGTGCTGTGCTGTGCTGTGCTGTACTGGGCTGTGCAGGGCTGCGCGCAGGCTGCACCTCCTCGAAAGCCGCCGCCTGATCTTTCCTCTAAGCGCCGGAACGACGCGCGTAGCTTCTAAACCTCTCATCACCTTTGCAACCGTGACACCATCTTCAGCGTCGGAGAAGCATTACAACAAGCGACTTTCAGTCCTACGGGTCTGCAAGGCTCCGGGAAGAGTCGGGTACCTCTCTGGCAGCAGCCGCCAGGGCTCCTGCTCTCCATCCCTGCTAGTCCCAGCTTCAGCGAAGCACATTTTAGGAAGGTCGCCGGAGGAGAGTAGGACATAACTTCCCCGTCCTGTTTCACAGGCACCGGTTTACTAAACTAGCGAACTCCCGGCTTGCTAATCGAGATTTTCAGAAAGCAGCTGCCGGCGGTCAAGCGTAAAATCGTGGAGGCAATGCCGTCCCAACAGTTTCCCTGCGATGCCACCAGAGAAACCACCAACCTCTTGTGTAAAGGTCATGTTTGGATCCAAAACGTTTAGGAGATCCTCTTGTATCTCGTCGTGGTTACAGAGGCTGAAATTGTAGGTGGATCCCCGCGGTAAATTGGCGATCTGAAGAAAGATGATCAAGCCACAAAAGACTGTGCAAGAAAAAGCCAAAGATTAATTCTGCACCGCTACGTGACCCGACAAGGCACGGAGGACAGATCTGAAGAGAGGGATGCCGGTGCTTCGGGAGCACTAGAAAAACTGGTTGGTTACCCTTGTGATTATCCATGGTGTCTTTACACGTTGTTTTTCTCCTGCTGGGCTTCAGATCGTTGCTGGCTTCATATATGTACCTGTACGCCTACGGAAATGAAGGTTTCCAATTCCATAACCGGGGCTCATTTGGACGTCTCATGCACCTCTTTCCAGAACTGTAAATAAAAAATCTTCAGACTTGAAGCTGTGTCACTGATTCTAAAAGAAACACGGGATAATGAACAATAATCAAACGCAGTATCCAACCCCCCAAAAAAGCAAAACAAAAAACCCCACAACAGCCAATCTTGCGTGAACAAGTGTGAATAGCCCTCCCCATAACTGCGTGGGGTTCACCTTCAGTGTGGACTATTGCAGCAACACGCGACTTACTCTCAAAGGCGAGACAAAACGCTTCAGGGCACCTGCAGATGGTGGGTGCAGCCCAGGGGTGGATGCTTCCTACCATTTACATTGAGGTCACAGAGGCATCATCCCGAGGGCATCGTTTTACCACGCTAGCGCGGGAGTGGGTGGAGGGTGGCGGTGATTTCCCTGTGCCACCTACAGCCTTTTATTTTCTCGAAGGTGAGAATGTTTTACCTTACAAACCACTTTCTCCGAGGAGCCCCTTCGCTCGCCCAGGCTGTAGGGAGTGCAGCCGAGGGGCACTTGATCTGCATGGGGACAGTCTAGCTGACAGGGCAGCTGGCTGCCCCGGGCACTGGCGACCAGGATGCCCGGGACGTCGGGGTCGAGGCTGCTCCCTGCACTGGCGACCAAGATGCCCGCGACGTCGGGGGACAGGCTGCCGACCAGGATGCCCGGGACGACGGGGGCCAGGCTGCCCCCTGCACTGGCGACCAGGATGCCCGGAGTGCCAGGAGAGACTGGCGAGAGGAGGCATGGCCTCGCC